AATCTTAGTGGGACTTCCCGAAAAGGTAAAATGGGATAATCTTAGCGAGACGAAGGGAGTATTATTCTTAGGCTCTGATTTACAGCCATAATATTATCGAAGGCTTTCGCTTTAACAAAATTTTGTTGATTCAGTCATTTCAACGAAATAACTTTGAAAAAACTGGTTATACAAATCATCTTTTACTCGTGAGAGAGCACTTCTAGCTTGATCCTTAGACAACCTTGGACTGAGCATGATTATCTGATGAAATATCAGAAGTACTACCATTATTTCTGTTTGCTTTGGCGAACCATGAAAAAGTGAACAGCCCTGCACACAGCCAACACAACAATCATTCCAATGAGCCAATGACCCCCACAACCGCAACCTTCGTGGCTTCTTGGACCAATTGGAATCATGAGGGTGGATGTTTGCAGATGGAGGAATATCTTTAGTTGGGAGATGCGATGAACCTTGCCCGGCTGGTTCTGGTTTGCTGGAGTTTAATCAAGTGTCAATGCAGAGTGATAAAGAAGGGAAACCAATCCCACATAAACCTTTGTTGTTGTCATACTGGAATCCATCATTTAGGTTCTTCAAAGCTTCATTCCAATAACATACATCCAACAAAAGAAAATTAAGAAATGAAAGTTAGTCACACAACTGTTTCTTGTGTTTTGCGAAGGAAAACATTATCTTGAAAATGAATTTTTCCCCTGGAATCTTTATTTTATACTTTCGTGGAAAATGACGCTCTATTATGAAAACGATATGATTTTCCTAATTTTGTGGGTTAAACCTTATAGGCTTATACGATTTTACATTTAAAACAGCTTATTTTCTTTGAATTATCAACAACAACAACATCCAAGCCTTAATCCTAAAGGAATTTGGGGTCGGGTAAAAATAGTTGCATTAATCCCAGAAAGCCTTATTTACTTTGAAATATATTGCATTAAAATAGTTTTCTTGAAAAAGAACATAGGTTTTAGAGAGAAACAAATTACCAAGAGGGGAATTGCCAGAGAGGGAATTGTTTCTCAGATTAAGAACCCATAAGTTATAACCTTCAGAAAGCTTAACTGGAATTGAACCAAACAGGTGATTAGAGCTCAAGTCCACCCTAATGAGCATTGTCTACCCACCCAAACTGGCTGGAATTGCACCAGTCAACTGATTGGATTGAAGAGCAAGAACAGTTAGGTTCTTTAGAAACCCAAACCTGTTAGGTACCTGGCATTAAGATTGTTGTAGTACAGTTGCAAAACTGCAACCAAAAAAAGTAAATGCTAAAGTTCAATCACTTTATATAACACATCAAGAATTTAGACTCCACAAAACTTTACTTAAAGCCTGCATCTTTCTTAAAATTATTCATAGTAGAAACTCAATTAATTTCAATAATAGATTTCTTGAATAGTTAGCTTTCAGGATATGAGCCTATTTTAATGAATCTTCTTGTACAACAAAAACTGTAAGCCATTAGGATAACTTATGCTTTAAAAAAGGGCAGATCTCAACAGAAAAAACAAAAAAGGGAAGTCCCCTAAAATTAAAAGGCCCTTTTCCATGCATATTATTAAATTAAATTCAAAGAAAAAGAGAAATCTTCTTCTAGAATGGCTCATTTGTACTTAAAGCAGTCTGTGATTATTCAGACTTCGAAAGCCTCTTCTCAGAATCAAATTGCACACTGAGTGAGAGATAAACTTACACTGCCACAACCAGGAAAAAGAACTGGAGTAGGCTGTCCCAAATCCCACGGTGTTAGTCTCTCTCCCGGCCATAAAGGGCGCGAAGGAGACCACTGCGTCATAGTTGGGGGCTTTGGGGCCGCTTAGAGACGAAACGAGCGAGAGGGTGTCCGAAGGTACCAACAGATGGGAGCTGAGACGGAAATTAAACGGAAAAATGGATTCCTTTAAAAGAGTACAAATGGTAAAACACATAGTACCACCTCATAAAGCTAGATGATTACACCAACATTTTTTCCATCCCTAAAACACCCTAACCTTGATTGCCAATTATAAGTTTTTAAGAAATTTATATACGGCATTATATTTTAGAACAATGATTAGTATTCTGTCTCACTAACTTTATTTCAATTTTATGTCTGTCTTATTAAATTTTTTATATGTAGTTCAAATTAGAGATATACTTATAACATTTTCCTTCAAATTATTTGTAATTTTCTAATCAAATAAGAATATATATTCAACTTTTCATTAATATGTATGTGAAGTTTACATGCTACGAATAATAATGAGATGAAGGTTGGGAAAGTTACAATATAGTACTCGGTTGTATCTATCTAAATTTTAGAGAACTCTCTAGTCTTTATCGTGTATAAAAAATAGAAAAAATCTCGAAAGCAAAATTTGCACGGAGTAAGGATGTTTATAAACAAATCAAATTAAATCAAATTAAATCAGACTTAAACAGACCAGATTAAACTAGCTAGCAAATTATAGTCGAAGGAAAAAGTAAAAACATCCTAATAGTCAATATGTTCAGTGTTAATTTGATTACACGACTTTAATGCATGATAATAATAATAATGGATAAACTAAATAAATTTTGGAAAAAATATACCGTCTACTCCGTAAAAGATACGGAGTAAACTACTTTAACAGTATCTCTTACCAAGCATCAATGAATATACCCGACCAAATCTCGGAAATTCCCATTTTGCCTTCTTCTTTCTTCCCCAAGACAGTTCTTCAGACCGCTGGACTACTCAACTGCACGCCTTCCCAGAACTCAACTACCGGCCAGTTGGGTGCGATAGACAGAGAGCGACGGCTATTCCATCGCACAAGCTCAGTTAGTTGCTGTCCAGGCGAAAGACCGATCATCTTTTCCGTTCAGATTTGCCTGCGACACTCTTTCTTCTTTCAGCTTGATAAGTGAGTCTTTCTCTTGTCTTCAGCTCATCGCATTGCGCTAATCCGTACTGTTAGGTAGGTATATTGGTGTGCGTTGAGAGCATTGATATAGCGCAGAGTTATGGGACCCAAGAGGCGCAGCAAGGCTGCTAGCTCTAAATCCTCTGGTTCTCCCGCTGATGAACTCGGCTCGGTGACTGTATATGATTCAGAGGGAACTGATTCAGCGTCTTATGCGAGTATTAAGGTTGAGTGTGAGAAGGCATTGAGCTCCCTGAGCAGGGGGACCCATACCAAAGCCCTAAAAGCGATGAAGGACTTGTGTGTGAAGCACGATAGCTCGCCTTATGCTGCTTTGGTTCACCGGGTCCATGGCACCGTTTGCCAGAAAGTGGCTTCATTAATTGGTGACCCCAAAGTGAAAAATAGGCATATGAAGAATGCCATCGAGTCTGCCAAGAAAGCAACAGTCTTGTCCCCTAACTCAATCGAATTTGCACATTTCTATGCCAACTTGTTGTATGAAGTGGCTAATGAAGGAAAGGAGTACGAGGAGGTTGTTCAAGAGTGCGAGAGGGCATTGGCAATAGAGAGCCCAATTGATCCAGGAAAGGAAAGCTTACAGGAGAGTCAAGTGAAGCTACCCACTCCTGAGGCTCGGATTAAACAGGTAGAGAATGAAATTAGGAATTTGATTCAGAAATCCAACATTGCTTCCATTTCCACTTGGATGAAACATCTGGGCAATGGGGATGATAAGTTCAGGTTGATACCAATAAGGAGGGTGCCTGAGGACCCGATGGAGTTGAGTTTGGTACAGTCAAGAAGGCCCAATGAGATTCAGAAGGCAACTAAAACACCTGAGGATAGAAGGAAGGAGATTGAAGTTCGAGTGGCTGCAGCAAGGGTATTGATGAATAAGTCAAATTCTGGCCAGTCACTAAACGAAGGAGATAAGGGCTTGGATCCCGCTACAGGGTTAGGGCAGAGGGGGAATGAGAGAAGGAAGAGTGGAACCACGAGGAAGAAGGCATCTTCCACGGATAGATGTGGCTGGGTGCAGTCTTATTGGAATTCTATGAGTATGGATATGAAGAAGGAGTTGCTTAAAATTAGGATTTCTGATCTCAAGATTCATGTCAGTTCTTTGAAGGATGGATTGTCAAGTCAGATGTTATCTGAAGCTTTACATTTCTTTGAAGCTTATAAAACATGGAAATTTTGGGAGTGTTGTAAATGCGCTGAGAAATTCACAGACCCTGGAATACACATTCAGCATGTCAGGCATGAGCACATGGGGGATTTGGCACCTAAACTTAAATTAGTTCTTCCTGAAAATGTCGGCAATGAGTGGACCAAGGAGCTTCTAAACTTCCATTGGAAACCATTAGATCTTAGTGCAGCTACAAAAATGCTTGAGAAAACCTTAAAACCTCAAGAGTGTGGGAATGGAGCGGATCAAACTAAAGGAGAATTCTCCAATACCTACTCACATGATGAATGGGGTCTCTTAACTGGAAAGAAGTATTTGATTGATCGACACAGTGATACTACTATTGAAAGGAGAGAGTACGAGAAGACCTCAGATGTTGAACTCATTAAATTTGATGGTGATGGAGGCCGTGAGGGATGGCCTATGTCTGATGACCCAGACCGTGCCAAATTACTTGAAAGGATACAGACTGCATTCCAATCACTTATAATAAATAAATGCCTTGCTTCAAGTCATCTACACAAGATTACGAGTTTTGCAGCAGAGGAGCTAAAGGGTCATTATGGTTCTCAGCTGCTTAACTGCAATATCAATCAAATTCCATCATGCATTTGCTTTTTGGGTTGCAAAGATCTTATGAAGGTACTAAAATATCTACAAGAGATATCTCAAAGTTCTGGCACTACTAGACACTTAGAGAGAAATGATGGTATAGAAGACACAAATGGTGGGACTGCATGTGCTGATGCTATGGAGAGAATAGTTTTAAGTGAAGACTGTTCATATTTATTGTTTGATGAGCATTTCCTGCCCCTCAATTGTGTTGACAGCAGGCTTCATAATGCGGTTAGTGATGATAAAACTCCCGCGCTTTCATGTAACATACCATATGATCACAGCATTTTGCTTGATTCAAATGCATTTTTGTCTTGGATGTTCATGGGACAAACAAGCGGCGAGCAATTGGAGAGTTGGTCACGTTTAAGGGAGGAGAACGCTCAACAAGGATCCGAAATTCTTAGATTGCTCGAGGTGGAATTTCACGAACTTCGGGTACTGTGTGAAAGAAAATGCGAGCTCTTGAGTTACGAGAAGGCTGTGAAGGCCGTGGAAGATTTCTGCATAGAAGAGGGTAATAAAAGAGCTCATGTAACTGACTTTGTCCCTCAAAGCTATAATGTTATTTTGAAGAAATGGCGAGAAGAGTTGGAAAACCACCACGATGATGCAAATATAGGTCATAGGATCGAAGTTACAGTCATTTCAAATGTTCTAAATGATGCGGAGTCTCTTAATGTCACTCAATTTGGATACGGGGAAACTTACAGTGATATGACGTCTCATCTTTCTGACTTAGAATTGGGTCAAGTCGATGATTGGAGAATGAAGGACTTCCTTCACCAGGCTGACTCATGTGTAGAAGTTGCAATTCAGAGACAGAAGGAACGGTACTCAACTGAGGTCGGTTGTTAGTTATTGCTTTCTCAGCCCCCTAACTGCATTGACAATGACATGTCTCTTCATTGTAGTTATTTTTCTAATGCAGCTGAGCAAAATTGATGGAAGAATCCTTTGTGTTCAAAATGGGGTGCAACTTTTGGAATCGAAGCTTGAGCCTATATCTGGCAATGATTATAGGCGGGTATTAGGGCCCCTAGTGAAGTCATTTCTGCGGGTTTGTTAATGCTTTTAATGTGCTTCTGTATGTAGTTGGTTAGTCACTCCTGGAATAGAATCTGTTTTCTACATATTTTCTTTACTTTTTTATTCTACATGATAATTCCTCCAGGCTTACTTAGAGGGTTTGGCAGAGAAAGATGCCACTGAGAAATCTGATGCTGCAAGAGAAGCATTCCTGGCAGAGCTTGCCCGTGATTTAGAGAAGAATTCAGGTGGAGGAAATGATAATTTAAAACATGCAACTGAAAAGACAAAAGATAAAAAAAGGAACAAGGACTATCGAAAAGGCAAGGGTGCAAAGGTTGACTAGTAGTATTTATAAAGTATTTTATTCCTTTTTATGGAAGCGTAACTTTTCGCTGGACCATAGATGATTCTTTACCTACATCTTCTCAGGCTTCCACTGGAACTGTGCAGCCCATTCATCACCACGAGACTTCTGAATGCATGTATGTATTTTTATAATTAAGAGAACACCATACATGTAAACATTCTAAGAGTATTCAAAGAAAGCTTAAACTGCCTTTTATATTCTGCTCATGTCTGTACCATACCAGTTCTTCTCAAGGTGTTAATGATAAGGAAAATGAAGGGGGTGAACTTATAATTGTTAGAAGCAAAGATTCTCCATCTCTGGAGGACTACAAGCTAGGAAATATGCTTGAAGAAGAGGAAAGAAAGCTCGAAGAGACATTGGAGTACCAAAGGAAAATTGAAAATGAGGCTAAACTCAAGTATCTTGCTGAGGAACGTGAGGTAGTTGGAACAGCACTTTCAGAGAAGATGCCTGCAGAAGTAGTACCTGATGTTTATTCGAGATACATGGAAGATCAAGATGCAAGTGAGCAAGGGAAAAATAATGCCAAGGTGATTTGTATTAGACAACTGTTTTTCAACTTTTACCAGAACATGTGGCTTTGGTTATTCTTTTAGTTTTAAAGAATGCATTGGTAGGATTCATTGCTAAATAACTTTTGAGACACCTTAGGAAATTCTAACATATCCTTTCACAATTTCAGGATTCAATGTTTCCAACAGATGAATCTCCTGACATTTTGGAAGGTCTTTTAAGGAACACTGCTGATGTTGATGCAAATAGAGCGGGTATGCCTCTCTCTATGTACAAGTAAAACTTCACTGTATCTGAAGGTAACATTTGCAAACTCCAAATGATTTCCCTCCATTCGCTTTTTTAGAGAATCAGAATGAAGGAATGCTTGAAGCTGAAACTGCAGTTTCTGATCAGACTGGAAGAAAGAGCAGGCGCCAGAAGGGATTGAAAAAAATTAATGAAAGAAAGTATCAAACTGTTTCTTCTGGTGCAGATAAAAACATGATCAGTAGACTGGTGTCTTTTGAAAATTTGCAAGGTCAGTGGAAGTGTATATTTTTACACTTTTCCGTTTCTAACCTTTGTGGTGATTTCACTGTAATTTAAAAACACTATTAACATGACTTTAAACAAAACACTATTTATGGAACTACACCAATAGGAAGACCAATTAAGGTTGCACTATTTTTGCTCTACACCAATAATAGGAAGACCTTGCTTTTTATAATCTGTAAGGCTGTAACCTGAACTATAAAGAAATAAGATTGACATACAAATGTGCTGCATTTGGTATTGTCACATCTTGTGGATCCGTGATTTGTAGTTAGGAACCGATTGATATCCTAGTAACTGTTGACTTCCAAATGATCACTTATAGCAGCTTTATTATTAACATTTCGGCTACTACCTTCATCTTATTTGTCGCCTATTTAATGCACATAAATATTTGTTTCTATGCCTTATTCAGGGATGATATCAAAGTCGCACTCCGAAATAGGTTATTCTGGAGAGTTACCCATGGAAGGGGCCACTGAAACAGCTGGAGTTAATGTATATGGGACAGGGCTGCAGAATGAAATTGGGGAATATAATTGCTTCTTGAATGTCATTATCCAGGTCGGTAGTTATGTCAGGATGGGCTTTACTATTGTTTATTAAGTCCTGATCTGTTCTGGGATTGTAGTTTCACATCTTTCCCTTTCTGTTATATTTCAGTCATTGTGGAATTTAAGCCACTTTCGAGATGAGTTTTTGAGATCATCATCGAATCACGTTCATATTGGCGATCCTTGTGTTACATGTGCTTTATATGACATTTTTACTGCTCTTTGTTTGGACACGCAAAGAGAAGCGGTTGCTCCTACCTCATTGAGGACTGCTTTGAGCAACCTATACCCTGATAGCAATTTCTTCCAGGAGGTAATGTTTATCCTTGGGCTTTGCTTGAAATTTTCACCAGTTTTATACAAGTATAAGTTTTTTAAAACACACGGTTATATTCTGATCAGCATGGCACTATGATCTGCAGGGGGAGATGAATGATGCTTCAGAAGTACTAGTTGTAATATTTGATTGCCTTCATCAGTCGTTTACTTCAGATTTGGGTTCTTCTGAGACAAAATCAACATCTAGGCGCTTGGACTCCTGGGATTGCACTAACAGTGCTTGTATTGTGCATTCTATTTTTGGAATGGATATCTTTGAAAAAATGCTCTGCCCCAAATGCAAATTAGAATCTAGACATCTGAAATATACTGCTTTCTTTCACAATATTAATGCTAATGCATTGAGAATGACAAAGGTATCCTCTGCACAAGTATTGCTTTCGGTGATAATAGTTTATTTTTTACTTTTTCGCCATTAATCTTAGAGGTGAACACATTTTGGTAGAGTAAAGGGTCAGTTTGGTACTCGAAGTTGCAAAAAAGGGGTCAAATAAGTCCTTATATAGAAGATTCTGTCCGGACGTGCCATTTGAGGTGGCTCCCGATAGAATTTTTTGATGAAATTTTTTGAGCATCTTATTCATTAAGTCTAGTTTACTCATACCAAATTTCAAATAAAAATTCAATTGGGAAGACATTCAAATGAATTCTTGAAGATAACTGCGCTTTTAACGGCACAGTTATCTTCAAGAATTCATTTGAATGTCTCACCGATTGAATTTTTATTTGAAATCTGGTATGATTAAATTTAACTTAATGAATAAGATGCTCAAAAAATTTCATCAAAAAATTCCACCGGGAGCCACCTCAAATGGCACGCCCGAACAGAATTTTCTATATAAGGACTTATTTGACCCTTTTTTTGCAACTTCGAGGACTAAACTGACCCTTATCCCCATTTTGGTAGGGTAGATGTGTGTGGATTTTTACATAACAAAGACATCTGATCTTGCATTCTAGGTGAAGCATCTAGAAAGCTCATTTGATGAACTTATGAATCTTGTCGAGAGGAGCCACCAGTTGTCTTGTGATCCAGATGCCGGTGGGTGTGGGAAACATAACTTCATTCACCATTTCTTGTCAACTCCACCACAGGTTTTCACAATAGGTAATTCCCTTTTTGCCTTTGCGGATTTCTAGATTTACATAATCTGCATGGGCTGTGGTAGGAATATGTCAGCAATTTGATGAAGTATAGTTTTATAAAAAAGAAAAGCCGAGGAAGCGGTCCATCCCAGCTGGTCGCCGACTCACTCCCATTTATGGGAGGCCCGGGTTCAACTCTCAATGTAGTGAGATTGATCCCCGTTTACCCCAGGCCCCCCAAACCCCCCTCCCCCTGACGCCCACTGGGGTAATTAAAAAAAAGAAAAAAAAAGGAAGCGGTCCAGCCCAGCTGGTCGCCGACTCACTCTCACTTATGGGAGGTCCCGGGTTCAATTCTCAATGGAGTGAGATTGATCCCAATTTACCCCAGGCCCCCAAACCTCCCTCCCCTGACGCCCCTTGGGGTAAAAAAAATAAAAAAATAAAATATATATATGAAAAAAAAGAAAAAAAGAAAAGCCATCAACATCTTGTTTAAATATTTTTAGATTGTGATGCTTTGTTTTTTCTCTGCAGTTCTAGGATGGAAGAATACTTGTGAGAGTCTTGATGACATAAGAGCAACATTGGCAGCCATATCTACTGAGATTGACATTAGTGTCCCTTACCATGGTTTAGATCCAAACAACAAATATAGCCTAGCCTCAGTAGTAAGCCTCACACTTCTCTATTGTGTAGCCTATTAACCGGTATACATTCATTTATGGCTATATGTAGTTGTGAATACTGCATCACACTGTTTAGTACTTCAACTTGAAAAAAATGTCTGATATTTTCAAGTCTGAATCTTTATTCATCAACTTACTACTAATAATAACAACATTACCCCAGTGCCGCAAAGGCCTCCCACCTATGGTGGTGTAAGGGGGGGACTTCCATCCTACTATTGTGATTGTTAATTTGATGGGTGTGGATATAAATTGTGTAGTCTTCCTCAAATGTTCATTTTCAGGTTTGCTATTATAGACAGCATTATCACTGTGTTGCTTATAGCCGTCATCATGAGAAGTGGATAATGTATGATGACATGATTGTGAAGGTAAATTTTCAGTGCCATTTCATCACATGCTCTTATCATTATGAACGTTGATCAATAATGTGCCTGTTTATCATATTTGGATACTTGAACTTCAGGTGATTGGCAGCTGGGACGATGTTCTCATGATGTGTATAAAGGGGCATTTGCAACCTCAAGTCTTTTTCTATGAAGCTGCAAGCTAATTTTGCGTGATCGGGTCTTGGGGAAGCTTTAATCCTGGCTCGTGAGCTGTATAATTCATGTATACCAACAAATTTGTAAATGTCAAAAGGAATTTTACAGAAAGCGAAACAGTCTAGAATCAGTTAGCATATTGAAGAGAAAAGAGAAATTGGAGTTCTTGGCCTGGAAGGTAAAATCACAGACAATCAATCTGTGATCGTTGTTGTATACTTCTTTGGGTTGCTTCTTCAATGATCAAATTTTGGGAAATAAGAAAGGAAAAAAGGCCTTTGTATAGATATATTGATGAGGGTTGTAGTTTTTTTTAATATTTATTTATTTACAAAATCAGGTTCTGTAGGCTGCGTAGGTTGTATTTTCATATACGTGAATTGTGGAAATAATAATATGATAGTGATGGACTTTGTTCGAAACTGGCCTTGATGAATTGATGATCTGTATTATCCCTTGGTTCATCTATTGAAAAGTTTTGAACTACTCATTTGCCATATGTGCAACTACTACTAATTACTTTCCTAGTTTCCTTCCAAATCAATTTTTCCGTTCTGTTTACGAATTACGAAAAAACTTTTGCTGAGATTTATTTATTTAGAGAACTAAACAAAAAGCACATAAGTCACGATTTCTTAAAAAGAGTGAAATGTTAATTTGAGATTATATAAAAAAGAGAAGTATGAAATGCATGTATTTTAGAACGTAGGGATTAGGGAGTACTCTATATTATTCAAGGATTTTACGAAGTCAATAGTGGATTGTGGTGATGACATAGTACTCTATATTATTCCATAGGATTAATATATGCCTCGTAAATTACTCGAGTATTGCTATCGTGTTCTTGTACTAGTATTTCTATTGTGTACCTTAAACACTAACAATATGGGGTTTACATAGTAACTAAGTATGCTTATATTTACCCCAAGTCTTGTGACTACAAATAAAACTTTACTCCGTACATGCTAACAATCAACTAAGGTTTATATTTTTATTTGTTTTGCTTGTAAATGGTGTAAAATGTAAATGTATATTTTCTGATACCTTAATTGCTTGCAAGCGGCCGTCTCCCCTCTTTGTAGGGGTTGAGATTTTCCGTCGTCCCATCAATATGGGATTGGAGCGGCAGATTATTCTGATTTTAAGCTTTCTGATGCTTGGGATTGCAACTATGTCAGAGGAGATAACGTTGGTGGAATTTTGTATCGGTGCTGGATCATGAAGCCTTGGTCGTAGGCTTGGACCCGGTTCGGGCCGCCCGGCCCGGGACCGGTCCGGCCCGTCACTGTGCGGGCCCGGAACCGGCCCGGTTCTCGGGTCCGGGTCTGGTTCGGGCACCGAACCGGTTGGGTTAGCGGGTCCGGGCTCGGGTCCTGTTTTTGGAGGCCCGGCCCCGGGCCTAACGGTCAGTTTTTTTTAAAAAAATTCATTTTAATTTGAAAAAAACCTTTTGGCTCAACAGCCACTTCCCAAACGGCTATATAGCCGTTGGGGGGGGTACCAGGGGGGTCCGGGGTGTTTGGGGGTGGGGGGGTGGGGGTGGGGGGTGGGGTGGGGGGGTGGGGGTTAAAAAAAACCTATAAATACTCCTAATTTTAAACATTTTTTCACACCTCTTCTCCAACTCTCCCTAAATCCTACTCTCTACTCATCTCCAATTCTCCATATTCATCTTCTCAAATTCTCTTATTCTCCTTTATATTTTAGTTTACTATTTAATATTTATACAATTATTATATCTATTTATATATTAATTATCTACTTATAAATACATATACTATATTACTTATATTTCTTATCTACTTAATCTCTACTTATATTTCTTAATACATACATACATACTACATCTACTTAATATATACTTTATATAATAAAGTATTAAATATACTTTATAAACTATTACTATATACTTAATACATAATAATATCTACTTCTCTACTTAATAATATCTATTTTATAATATCTACTTTTATATATACTTTATAATATCTATTTTATATATACTTATTTTCTTATTTTCCAATCTCCAATTCTCCATTATACTCTAATATTTAATTCTTATACAATTATTATATCCACTTAATACATACATTCTACATCTACTTAATATATACTTTATATATTAAAGTATAAAATATAAGTGTATTACTCATCTTATAGTAGTATACTTATATATTATATACTATAAACATTATATTATATATTACTTACTATAACTAGTATTGTACTAGTTAATTAGTTAATTAGCATTCTTGTTACATTTATCATTATAATAGTTAATTAGTTCATTACCATTATTGTTACATTTTTCATTATACTAGTTAATTAGTTTATTAGCATTGTTGTTACATTTGTCATTATACTAGTTAATTAGTTAATAAGCATTATTGTTACATTTTTCATTATACTAGTTATTTACTTCATTAGTATTCTCATTAATTGTTAAAACAACTCTACTTCAATAAACTAGTTAATTGTCATTAATTCATTATAGTTAAAGTCACATTTTCTTATTTTCAATTTATATTTGTAGGAAGAAATAGTAGTTCAATCATTTAATTAAAGTACTTAACATTTTATTTAAGTAGTTTTTACTAAATTAAAGTACTTCAAAAGTTGGTATAATTTTAATTTTAAAGTCACACATTAATTCTACTTTGCACTAAATTAGTTTGAAGTATTAATTAAAATAGTTTTAATTAGTTGCATTAGTTTTGTATCCATTATTATATTGGTTGTCAATTAATATTTGTTACATTTTTAACATGGAAGGTGGTAGATATTCGGTTGATTTGGGTAACCTCCAACGCAATCGAAGGAACGAGATTGGGAGGAAGAAATCCCACAAAGGTAAAGAACTTGCCGGTTCTTCATCTCAAAGCCGAGATGATTTTGAAACGGGTTACCAAAGGCGAGATGGAGATGCGATGTCCGAAGAACAACTCCAACAAGAATTGGCCCGACATAATAACCGCTTTCTACAACAACAACAAATGCCGACGACCATTGACGAAGAGGAGCTTGAGGATGAAGATGCGGAGGAATTGGAACCGGAGACGGCCGAGGAGGAGGGTGCCGGCAGCCACGACGCCGACGCGCCTGCCTCATCCCAAACCGCCACCGGTAATAAAAAAAGTAAGTCTGAACTAATGAAAAATAATTTTGATAAATGGAAGGACCCACAAACCGGATATTGGCACGCAACTTGCAAGTGGTGCAACAACAATTATAGTTTGGGAACCTCCGGCGGATACGGATCCGCCGCAAGGCATCTTAAGGCAAAGCACCCCGTGGAGTATGCAAAATTAGGCGGCGGAACGGGGAAGCAAACTCAAATATCGAGGTTTGCGAATTCTCAACCTTTTGGTAATTTCTCCTACAATGATGCACAAAATTTGACTGGTATGGCTAACTTAATTTGTGAAGAAAATTTGCCTTATTTGTTTTCTGAAAGTCTTGCTTTAAGAGATTATGCACAAGGTAGTTTAAATCCTCAATTTAGAAATTATAGTCGCAAAACTGTTAAGAAAGAAATAATAAGGCTTTATAATGCGGAAAAGGAAATGTTACAAATTTTTTTTGCAAACTTTGATGGGCGTGTTACTATTTGTTCTGACATATGGGAGGATGATTTTCATCATTTATATTATTTGGGTCTGATTGCACATTATATTGATGAGGATTGGAATATGCATAAACGTGTTCTTGCTTTTCGTGAATTTAATGATCGTCACACCGCTGAACATATTTATATTTTGATTGAGCGTATTTTAATTGAGTATAATTTGATTGATAAGGTGTTTGCTATTGGTTTCGATAATGCTACTAATAATACTGCTGCTATACCTAGATTGCGTGAGTTGTGTGGTGCCAATTCTTTGATGGGTAGATTTTTTCATCAACGCTGTGCATGTCATGTTATAAATTTATGTGTGCAAGACGGTTTAAAAGCGTTGGGAGATTCCATGGAGGTAATAAAGGGGGGGATTAGACGTATTTGGGGTAATGGTCAACTTAGATTAAAATGGTAAAGTTATTTGACTGAAAGAGGTGTGACATATGTTGCTTTTCCTAAAGATTTGAGTATTCGTTGGAATAGTACTTATAAATTACTTAAAGTTGTTCTTAGATATAAAGAACATTTTCCTGCTTTTTTAAAAGAACATGATAACTATATTATAAACGCGGCTGAGATCGACACTTGCGAAAAAATTTGTAATGTTTTGATATTTTTTTTAATGCTACTGAAATTTTTAGTCATGTTTATAAACCTACCGCAAACCAATTTATTCCACAAGCTGTTAATCTCGCCGATGCTTTTAAAGAATTTCAGAATGCCGTTTTCGTTCATTATTTTTGTGATCATATGAAGGAAAAGTTTTTAAAATATTATGCTCATATTCCCCATATATATGGTATTGCATTTATTCTCGATCCTCGTTATAGACTTGCTAATTTGGAAGATTGTTTCAACTTCTATTATCTTGCGTTTTTCGGTGAATTTCCAATGTATGACGATAACCCCATAGATCCGAAAACGGAATACAACGAGGTTAGTACTTTATTTTATGCCTTATTTAATGAATTTCGTGCACAATATAGCAACGCTCCCCCTCCATCGTCACGAACATCTTCATCTAAAGGAAAATCGATTTTTAAATCTGCATTTGGCAATCTTATGAAAAAAACTAAAACAACTCACGTCACTGAACAAAGCGCATTGAATGAGATTACTTTGTATTTAACATATGAAGTTGATTTTGAAGAAAATGATGACTTTGACGTTCTAGACTGGTGGAAGTCAAAAGAAAGAACGTTCCCGATTTTAGCACGGATGGCTAAGCAAGTACTATCAATGCCGGTTTCAACAGTTGCTGTGGAACAAGAATTTAGTTCGGCCGGCAACGTTCTAACGGCATCTAGATCGAGATTGAGCGCAGAGTCTCTTGAGACGCTTATATGCTACCACGATTGGTTGAAGGCCGCACGTAGAACTCAAGAATTGAGCATCACCCCCTCCCAAGATTTTATGGATGACTCAACAACCGATGGTGGCTCTACCTATGCCGGAGATTCCGATTGATTAGTATTTTAGAATTTATTACAAAATGTATTTTATAGCACTTGTCAAATTTATTTATACTTGTACTTCATATTTCAAAATTGTAAACTTGTACTTCATATTTCAAAATTGTAAATTTGTAGTTGTACTTCAAATTAATTTGTAAACTTGTACTTCATATTTCAAATAAATATGTGTTCACTTTTTCATAAGTAGCACTTCTCAAATTAATTAATGGGTTACAATCTAACGACTTAAAATTATTTTTCTAAAATATAAAGCCGGTTTTTAAATTAAAAATACATTTACAATATGTAATTTGTTTAAATACTTATAAACCTATTTTGTAACATTTGTAAATTATAAATCAAACCACTTTTCTAAGTACAAATAGTTTTAGTTTTACTTAATTCATTAAATTAATTAA